CAACTTTCCAAATAGTTTCGTTAAAACACGGACAAGATATATCAACTGTTGAGTGTTGCTAATCTGTGTTTAAAAAAAAAATAGAATTACTGATTTCAACAAATTTTGCAGAAACACAAAGTCACTAAAGTTTAATGAACCAGTAAGAACAGAAGAATATAAACTAATTCACAAAAACTAAAATCTGCAAACATACCAGAATCTGGAAAATCAGAATGGAAAAAGATCAAGCCCACTAAATGCACAATGTCCCTTTAAGGAAATTATTCTCATCTAGTATCCGAGGTTTGATTTGGAATATGTCCTCCCAGGATACAATGATCTCAATCACTAGTGTATTGATACCCAAAACGCTGGTGTCAGCGAACCACTCAACAACAGTAAAGTACAAAAAGAAACTTTGTGCAGAAGAAGAAGAAGAAATCAGAAAATTCGTAAGGAAAAAGTCTGAAGAATCAATGGTATTTATAGCCAAGAGGAACTGGTTTCGAAAGGTTGCAACCTTCAGAATCTACACGACCATTCTTGAAAGTTTGCAACCTTTCAAACGGTCATGGTTGTCCCTGAAAGTTGCAACCTTTCATAATAGTCATTTCCAACGGCGAAAATTCAAATAAAACGGGTTGCGCACGGATCCGAGTCAGGTCGAAACGTTTTGGTTAATTAACTAATTAATTGAAACGTTTTGGCCATTTAATTTAACTTAATTAATTAAATAAGTAATTAACTAAATAATGAAAACAAACTTTGTCCAAAAAATAATCTCTCGATCAATTTCCAAAGCCAAAGCCAAAGTCGTAGCCGCAGCCGAGAAAGCGACGACGACGACGGCGCAATGGGGGTCCCTCTTTCCAACCCTTTTAACAATTAATAGAAATGTTTCTCTATTTAAACTCTTATATTTTTCTTTCCACCACCAATGAGGGATAAATGCCTTTTTACTAAAGCATAAGAGGACTTTTCAAGTTCCCAACTTTTCAATTTCCTCTTTTTTCCATCTTCCCTCCATTTCCCATTTACTTTTGCTATGTACCCAACAATCCCCTCACATGAATGGGAAATTGTTATAACATAAGGAATGCACTGACGAGTGTGTACTTTACAAGCAAGGATCAATTGCATCTGAATAAGTAGGTTTCCCCTTGGACTTTCCGTAGTGAACATATGTCGGATATACTCGGTCAATCGGTAGATGCGATATCTTTGAACCGTCGAGCTTTGGTGTATACCTAGACAACCATATGTCACACAATTAACCCTTTACCGTTTATGGTTCTTACGGTTGTGTTCGTTTCAGTCATGAACACCTTCTGGTTTCATGAGTG